CCTTGGGGTGGGGGTTGTGCAAACCAGTGCAAACCAGTGCCCAAACCAGTCCCAACCATCCCAAAAGCAGTTCCAACCAGTCCCCAAACCAGCGTCCAAACCAGTCCCAACCAGCTCAAACCAGTCCCAACCAGCCCAAACCAGTCCCAACCAGCCCAAACCAGTCCCAATCATCCCAAAACCAGTTCCAACCAGTGCAAACCAGTGCCCAAACCAGACCCAACCATCCCAAAACCAGTCCTAGCCAGTCCCCAAACCAGTGCAAACCAGCCTAACCAGCCCCAACCAGTGAAAACCAGTGGCCAGCCAACGCCAAACAGTTGTAAACCACCCCAAACCATCCCAAAGTAACCCAAACCAGCCCCATCCCATCCCACCCCACCCCGTCCCGTCCCGTCCCGTCCCGCACCGGTTGGTAGTTGATGGCGGGGCTCATCCCGGGCGTGGAGCTGCGGACCAGGCCGGGTTTCTGGGGCCCGCGCTGGCCCTGGAGCTGGGCGGGGCTGGGGGCGATGACGCGCTGGGACATCAACATGTGGGGCAGCGCCGAGCTGGCGGCCGAGCGGATCACGCTGTGGCCCTGCCGGGGAATCCACGGGCAATCCTGGAGTCAGATCCCGGGAAACGCGGGAGCAGCTCCGGGACCAGCGCGGAACAAACCCCGACCATTCCCCGCCACCAACGCCCCTTGAGCTCAGGAACAAAACCACAGGAAAACGAGGGAAACCTGGAGCACCGATTCCCTGATCCACGGAACTCCCACGGATCCAGAATCCCAGGTAATTCCTGATGCCCCAAATCCCTCCCTTTTCCACAGACTGTCCTGGATTTTACGGGATTGTGGCTCCTTCCCCAGCTCAATCCCTATTTCCCGCAGGAGGCTGGAACTGCTCCGTGGTCAAGGGGAGCAGCAGAAATCCATGGATCGAACACTTCCAGGGGCTTTTCCTTTGGGAGCAGCAGGAAAGCCGCAGGCCTTGGAGAATTCCCACCACCCTCATCCCCCTCCAGCCGGGACTCTGGACATTCACAGGATCACGGAATACCCGGCTCCACAAGGATCACCGAGCCTAACTCCTGACAAACCCAAATCCAACCCCGAGCACCGGGAATGGCGGGAATTCCTCTGCCTCTCGGGAAAAGCCCCTCAGCTCTGTGCACACCCAGCAAAACCGGCATTTCCCAGGAAAAACGGGAACGCTCACCTGCAATGTCCTCAAATTCTGCGGCTCCACCCCCTGGGCTCCGGGCCGGGAGGGGATCTTGGACAGGCCCTGCTGCCCCACGTGGCCGGGGGACGGCTGCACGATGGACGCGGCGTTCTGGACCACGGGGGTCTGCGGGCAGCACCGAGAGCGGGGTCAGCGCTCCCGGCGGGAATCCGGGTTTGTCTTCCCGGGCTGTGGGAATCGGCTCCGTGCCCGCCACGTTCCCGTTATCCCGCCCCATCCGTCCCCACCTCCCTCACCTTCTGCACCACGTTCTCCTTCTGGAGCTGGCTCTGCCGCAGCTTCTTGAGGAGCACCAGCCGGGCCTCCTCCAGCCGCAGCTCGTCCCGGAGCTGCTTGATCAGCTGCTGCCGCTCCTCCAGGCTCTTCCCCTGGAAAACAGCGGGCACACCGTCAGGAGGGGAGCGGGGCCGAGCTCCGAGCGGGAATTTGGACCACAGGGGCGAGAACCGAGGGGGAGCCGCACCCGGAATTTGCCGAGGAGCTTCCCGCGCCCTTCCCGGGACGGAATTCCCGTTCCCTCACCTTGAACATCTCCAGGTTGGCCGCCTTGAGCCGCTCCTCCATGCGGGAGCTGGAGCGGGGGCTGGAGGCCTCGTTGTCCGACAGGACGATGATGTCCGGGGACGGGGTCAGGCGGCCCCGGTCCTGCTCACTGCGGGGGAAAGGAATCCCGGTGAGCCAGGAACGGGGGATTTCGGGAGCGGGATCCCCCTGGCTCCAGCACGGATCCGGAGCGGGCAGGGAGGGATTCCCTCACCCCTCCGCAGGGCTGTAAATCCCACCCGGGAATCGGGAACGGATCCTGGGGATGGGAGGGAATGGCAGGGATACTCCAGCCTCGTCCTCACTGCGGTGCAGAAGGGGCCGAACCCCCCATTCCCAACCCAAATCTATTGGAAAAGCTCCTTCCATAAAGGAAAACCTGCAGGAATGTCCAACTGATCCAACCAGGACTGGGAAAAGGAGCGGCAGGGGAAAGAAACCAAAAATCCGTGGTGGAATCCAGCGGGATCCAGGCGGGATCATCCCGGGGAAGGAGACTCCAAGAAAAAGCCCTTGGCTATCCTGGATTTCATTCCTGCTGCCGGAGAGCCTTGGAAAACAGCGGGATAATCCAGCGTGGAGCAGTGGGAATGCTCAGAGGTAATTCCGGCTCCCTGGAAGGTCCTTGGAGTGAGGGGAGACCACGGAATATCTCATCCCAAACTTTGAGCCCTGAACACCCAGGAGGGAGCCCGGAGCCGAATCCCAGCTCCCAGCTTGGGCGGGAAGACGCTCAGAGCTGAGGCTGCCTTCGTCTCCCAAACATTCCAGATCTTTCTGTGGATATTCCCAAGCAGCAGGGCACGGAGCTGCCCCTGCTCCAGCAGAGGAATTCCAGAGCATCCCAGGGAGAAGGAGCCGGTGGGAGCCCGTCCAAGCTGCATCCCAGGAGCTCCAAACTGGGCTGGCAGATCCGGAGTGATCCAGCGCTGGATCCCAGGTTTTCCTGGCCGAGGGCTGTCTCACGGCTCCTGGGGGTAATTCTGCAGGAGCATCCGGATGTATCCAGGCTGGATTACTGACATTCCATCAAGGGAATAAAGGCAGAGCCCAAATCCAAGAGGAAAAAAGGACCCATCCATGAGGAATCACCGACTGGATTTCCTTTGTCCGGGGAAGAGCAGAATTCCAACAGAACCACCGGAGGAGGAGCCACGGTGAGGGAGGCAGAGGTGAGGAGACGTGGAGCACGTTCCCAAGGAAAATCCAGGAAAATGAGACATTCCCAGCCTCACTTCTCAACTTGGAGCAGAACATTCCCACCTCTTGCCAGGGCTGATCTCCTGATCCAAGGGTCCGTGTCCGATGCTGGTGCCCCCCTGGGGAACCTCGTATTGCACAATATCCAAGGAATTCTGCTGAGGATGCAGCCCCCGACTCCGCACTCGGAGCAGGACCCTTCAGGGACACCTCCAGTGTCCTGGGCTGCTCCAGCCTGGCCTCGGACACTTCCAGGGAGGAGAAATCCACAAATCCCTGGATAACCTGTGCCACCCTCACGGGGAACAATTCCTTCCCGGGATCCCACCCGCCCTCTGTCCGTGGGCAGCCATTCCCCCTCACCCCACCATTCCCAAATCCCTCCCCAGCTCTCAGAAGGGGATCTCCGGGACCCCCCAAATCCCATTGAATTCCCGGCCCTCCAGAGCCCGGCACTCCCGGCACCCACCTCCTCCTGGCGCTCATATCCACGGGCTCGTCGTTGATGTTCTCCTTGCCCGGCCGAGCCGCGCTCCGCCCGTCCCCGTGGGGCCGCAGGCTCCCGTTGAGCTTCTCCTCGTATCCCTTGATCCCGTCCGGCTTCACCGGGAGCTCGTGGGGCACCTCCAGCCCCGCCAGGTCCTTGCGCTTGAGCAGCGCCAGCATCTTCAGCCTCTCCATGGCCTCGTGCCCCTCCATCTTGAGCCGCTTGGCCAGGACGTCCTCGCGCTCCTCCGGCGGCTCCAGGCTCCGCTTGAGCAGGTTCAGGCGCAGCGCGTCCTCCGTCATCCGGTCCATCCTGAGGGACAGCGACGCCGTCAGCGCCGGGGGTCCCCGAGAATCCCCCCGGGATCCCCTCCCAGCTCAGCTCCCATCTCCTCACAGAGACCTCCCCGGCCTCTGCCCAGGGCAGGAGATTCCCCCTCGGGAAGCCCTGGAATCGCTGAGAACGGCGGCACGGTCCCTCCTTTCGGGATTAAAGCCCATGGACGCGGCTCGGCAAGGAAGGGGAGCCGGGAGGAACCCCCCCTCGGGAGCCCTGGAATGCCAGGAAATCCCCCACTGTGTGGTTTTCCAGGCAGGAATGCTCGGCGGCTCCGGGGATGGAGGCACGGGCAGGTCCATCCCCGCCCTCCCACCTCTGCGGCTCCCCCGCCCCAGCTCCAGGTGCAGGAATGCCCTCTGGAAAACAGGAGCCCATCCCAAGCCTGGAGCCCATCCCAGCCCCATCCCAAGCCTGGAGCCCATCCCAACCCCATCCCAAGCCTGGAGCCCATCCCAGCCCCATCCCAAGCCTGGAGCCCATCCCAACCCCATCCCAATCCCGCTCCCAGGCTGATAAGGAACCAGCTCCGACAACAAAGAGCTGCGGGAGCTCCACCTGCAAACCAGCTGGGCGAGGCCTTTCCCTGCGGAGCGGGGCCGGGGAGCAGGACCAACACCTGGGAATAGGTGGGAATTCCGTGCGGCCGGCTCGGGAACATCGGGAATCGCTCCGCAGGGAACAGAAAGCGTCCCGGCTCCGATCCCGGGCACCCGGAGCTGCTCCTCACCTGCCCGCACCCAGCTCCGAGTCATTCCCGGGATAAATCTCGCCCCAGCCAAACTCCTGGCTCGGGTACAAATCCCTGGAATGACGCATCCCTGCACGAGTTCAGCTCCCACCGGAGACGCCAGGAGCAGGGGAGGGCAGCAGGAAAAGCGATGGAAATCCCAAACAGGATCTGAAAAGACGCCGGCCGGAGCCTCCACGGGAGCCCCTCGGGCTCTTCCCTACCTGCTCATCCCGTCTCTCCGCACGTCTCCCAAATTTAGCCCGGCAAGCCGGGACAGGCGGCGGGAGCTGCTCCCGCCCCCGGCCCGCGGGAGTGACCCCGGGGGATCCGGGATGTTCCAGACACCCCGGGAGCCCTCGGAGCCGCGCCCAGCGCTGCGGCTGGAGCCGCTGGGAACGCGCCAGGATCCCGGGAGCGCGGCCAGGAACGGGCTCGCGGCTGCTCCCGGGAAGGAGAGAGCAGGAGGAGCGGGGAGAGGTCCACGGGACCAACATCCCACAGGAATAATTCCCTGCTGGAATAACGAGCTCCCCACGGATAGCCGAACCGAGCACGGAGCCGGCACAGCCGGGATCCAGCATCTCCTGGACCAGCTTCCTGCTCGTCCTCGCCAGGGGCTGGAAGGATCCCGCAGGAATTCCGGAGACCCTTGGTCCGTCACCCGCCTGGACAATTCCTGCCCCATCACCAAGGTGGTCTCCCCAGGACCCCCACCGCCCTCCCCACCGGCATTCCAAGCAAATCCAAAGTGCCGTTACCAGGAACGGGGCCCACCACCATTTAATCCGCTCCAGAGGTTTTCCAGGCTCAGCCAGATCCAATAAAAATTAAATTAGGCTTCGGACTCAGTATTGAATGGGGCCCTTTGGCTGGAGGGGGAAGGGGAGGATCCACTGGGAATTTCCAGAGCACTGGGAAAGCCGGGGGACAGCTCCTGATTCCATGCAGAAAGGCACAGTGAAGAGCAGGAATTATTCCCGTCCCGGGGTATCCGGCAGCTCCGGAGGTCGGACGGGTGGGAGGCTCAGCCCCGGCCCCGCTCCGGTCCCGGCACATCCCAAACTGGATCATCCGGCCCCGCCGCCCTCCGGCACGGCTCCCGGGGATCCGGCACATCCCAGGGAGCAGCCTCGGCCTCTCCCTTCAGCTTCACCCAAAAAAATCCTCCTCGCTGCAACCAAATTCCCAAATGGTGGCAAAACTCATGGAAAACAGGAGCTAAATCCACGGCGCGTCTCTGACCGGGATTATCCCCGGCAGCGCCTTCCCCGAGTGCCTGGGAACAGCCGAGATTCCAGAGGCTGGGATGAGCAGGGCCGGCCGGAGCGGCCCGGCTGACCTTGGAATGCTTTCCAGGAATGTCAGGGTGCCGCAGCCCCGCTCGCTCCGTCCCGCCGGCGATGCCCCGCTCTCCGTGGGGACGCCGCCGCCGTCCCTGCTCCGGCACCGCGCGCTCCTCGGCACGTTCCGCTGGCTCCGGGCGCTTTTCCTGCTCCACAGGGCCCGGCAGGACGGGCTTGGCGTTCGCAGCCAAACAAAGCAGCGCCCCGTTTTCCGTGGATATTGGATGTGGCGCCCACGGGGGGGGAAAGAAAAATCCAACAACAACAAAAAAAAACCTCAGCGGGAGGATTTGAAAGGCCAAGTTGGGCCAAAAGAAGGAATATTCCAGGGAGAAGTGGGAATATCCAGGGAGAGATGCAGCCAGGAGGGAAAACATGCCGGGATTTACCCGATGGAATCCAGAACCAAGACTCGGCAGCGCCAGGAGTTAATTCCAGCCGGAGTTTATCCAGGGAGGTTCCAGCCCCTTCCCAGCCTCCTTGGAGCGTTTTCCGTTGGGTCAAACCCCATGTTGGTCTTCCAGCCCCAGTTCCCGGCCTCGGACCCTCTGGAGCTCATGGAGGGGTTGTAATTCCTGATCCAGCACCAGGAACGATCCCTGATCCGCCAGGAGGGATCCCTGATCCGCCAGGAATGATCCCTGATCCGCCAGGAGGGATCCCTGATCCGCCAGGAGGGATCCCTGATCCGCCAGGAGGGATCCCTGATCCGCCAGGAGGGATCCCTGATCCGCCAGGAGGGATCCCTGATCCGCCAGGAGGGATCCCTGATCCGCCAGGAGGGATCCCTGATCCGCCAGGAGGGATCCCTGATCCGCCAGGAGGGATCCCTGATCCGCCAGGAGGGATCCCTGATCCGCCAGGAGGGATCCCTGATCCGCCAGGAGGGATCCCTGATCCGCCAGGAGGGATCCCTGATCCGCCAGGAGGGATCCCTGATCCGCCAGGAGGGATCCCTGATCCGCCAGGAGGGATCCCTGATCCGCCAGGAATGATCCCTGATCCGCCAGGAGGGATCCCTGATCCGCCAGGAATGATCCCTGATCCGCCAGGAGGGATCCCTGATCCGCCAGGAGGGATCCACCTGCTCCCGGTGCCGCGAGGTCTCCCCGGCTCCCTCCGCTTTCCCAACCCTGCTCCAGCAGCGCTGGAATTCTGCCGAGCGGAGCTGCCCCGGAGGAGCCGAGGTGGATCCCTGGGATCCAAGGGACACAGGATGGGAGATCAGGGATAAAGCAGCCCGGCGCCTGCTCCGCTCCTTGGGAAGCCTCTGGCATTCCCAGGAAGAGGCCCCAGGGGACCCAGAGAATTCCCGAGTCTCCGTTTGGGGCTGGAATGCCAGGATGAATCCCAGGAGAGAGCCAGCGTGATCCGTAACTCCCCACGGGAGCATCCAGCCCCGGAGCCAAGGTGATCCAGAGCTTCCAGCACCATCCCTCGCTCCACACCCAGGACACCACCTGGATACGAGCCCGATGGAGTCAAATCCGTTTAAATCCCTTTAAAATCCCGTTTTCCCGGGATCAGGAACCGGTGAGATCCAACTCCTCCCGCTCACCTGGGCGCGCTCCCGCTGCCCGAACCCCCCCCGAATCCCAGGATCCCGCCTCAAGCCCCGCCGATCCCGTGGGAAATCCACGGGGCTGGCTCCTCATCCGGAGCCATCCGGCCCAAATCCCGCTCCAGGGGCTTCCCGGAGCCCGGCACGAGGCGGCTCCAATTCCATCTGGGCTCGGCACATCCCGACGGCGGCGTCATAAAACGCGTTCCGGCACGGAACACAAAATGGCTGGCTCCCAGGGCGAGCATTCCCAAGGAACGCCAGGAAAAGGATAACAACCTAAAAAGGTAATTAGGATTTAACGGCTCGGCGGCCGGCAGCGGGATCCGGAGCGGGATCCGGGAACGCCGCTGGAAAGGGAAGGGAGGAAAACTCCACGGCTGAACAAAAACCACGCTGCTCTGATCCCAGCGATCCAGGGACGCGTCCGGGAATCCAGAGGAACGCCCGGCTCCGTGCAGGAATTCTCAGGCAGGTAAGGGAGGCTGAGGGTGGCTCCGGGAGATTTTCCCCGGAGCAGAACGAGCACCGGGATTTAAAGCAGCACCCGAAAAGCCCTAAAAACAAAAAGCCCTAAAAACAAAAAGCCCTAAAAACGGCCCCGGAGCCGTCCCGGAATGCACAGGGACCTGGCTGCTCCGGGCAGGAAAAGGGAACGGGAATAAGACGGAAGGGTTGGGATGGGGCAGAGCGGGAATTCCTATGGAGCAAACCGCTCCAGGAGTTCTGCTGTTCCTGGATCCAACGTGGGGAAACCTGACCCTGCTCCGGCACACCGGTCCCAGACCCGGATCCACCCGACTCCGGATCTCCCAGACCCTGGATCTCCCAGACCCTGGATCTCCCAGACCCCGGATCTCCCAGACCCTGGATCTCCCAAACCCTGGATCTCCCAGACCCCGGATCTCCCGGATTCCGGGTCACCGCCACCAGCCTGGGATGTCCCCGGATTCTGCTGCTCCCGGTCAAGTACAAAACTAACGATGGGAAGCAGGAAAAGCGGGAAAGGAGGAAAATCCTCCCTCCCAAAAAGTGCTTCCCTTCCCTCCTGAGTTTGTGTTTTGTCCAGCTCCATCTCTCGGGAGCCGGGAATGCCGCTGCTGTGTCCAGCACCACTGGCCTCACACCTTATCCCAGCCCAGGGGTTTTGGGATGCAGGAGGAGAGCAGGAATTCCAGCAGGAATTATGCCCAGAAATGGGGGGAAAAGACAGAAAAACTCCACAAAGTCTGGAAGAGAGATAAAAATTCCAGGGGGTCCGTCTGGGACGGCCCGTTCTGGGGAAAGGCAGCTGGAAAACGCTCCGGGAAAATCAAATCCAATAAAAAATGCTGGGATG